AATTTTATGAAAAATTATTTTTATAACTTTCTTAGAACGGAGGCCGACAGATTATATTGATACAATAAATTAAAAAATAAAAAAAAAATCATAAAAACTTAATAATAAAAAGTTAAAAATTATCAACTCTTAATTCATTAAATTGTTTAAAGACTTTAGAAACTCTTTTAGGATATTATAATTTACATCAGTTCAGGACACCTATTTTCAGTTTCATAAGCGACTAGATACAAGGCCATTATATAGATATCTTAAGTGAGTTTCTAAGTCTATAAATAAAACAGTACGTGAGAAATTGAGAAAGTTTCTTCTTTAACAAAAATTTTGTATATTAATAGATTTAAATATAACTTATATACTTTTATAAGGATCAATTTCTGCATTTGAAATATCAGGTATATAAGTTGATTTTAATGCTCAATATTTTATAATAAACAAAAACTTAAATGCTTAAAGTTGATCTATATAATAATATATATAAATACAAATTAATATAGTTTCAATGTATGTTTTCTAATTATTAATTATCAAAAATATTATAATTTAAAATAATCGAAATTATTAAAATTTCAGAGTAAATTAAAAAAAATGTAATATTTTTAATACTTTTTGTTTTTTGTTCCATTCAGATTGATATTTATATTCCAATTAATTTGAAAATTATATATTTACAATTTTGTAAATGTACATCTTGTACTAACATTATTGCTAACTTAAAATTGCATATATTTTGAGTCATATAAATTGGGCAGGATAAGGTAAATTTTACAATTATTATACAGGAAATGTGCTAATTTTTAAAATAATAATATAAACTTACATGAAATTTGTAATACTACTAACTGTACTATATGGTTATAATAATTTTTACTTAATTGTATTTATTATGATATTTCTTATATTTATTGAAACAGCATGAATATAATCGTTTTTATAGTACTCGTTTTATTTGGCAAATATTAATTATCGATTAAACAAATAAATATTATTGAAAAATCAATTTTTATAGATTTGTTGTGCTATATAATATCTTATTTTCTTTCTAGTATTTTTTTTCTTTTTCAGATAAATATATTATAATTTTGTTGATATTATACTAAGATTTTTATTCTGCTCTTACTTGTCCTATCCATATAATTGTGCCTTATTTCCTGATAACACATTTAAGTGATTTCTTTTTTGAAAAATTTACATATGATTTTCATGCTTCTTTGGATATCTAATTCAAAATCTTTATATTATACATTTATAGCTATTCTGTTTACATATTTATTGATAGCAGATTTATCACAGTGATATATTATTTCATTTCTCGAATTATATATTTCATCTGAAATAATTTCATATTCTTATCAAGAAGATATTTTATAATCTAATATATTATTAAATTCTATAATATATTATTAAATTCTAACTAACCTGAGTTAATCATCCCATTCATAATCATCACTGGATTCACTAGTTGAATCATCACTTTCACTATGTATTGCACTCGATCGCTCAGCAAGAGCCCTTGACAAAGCACTAGCCAAACCTCCTTGAAATGTTGATGTCGTTTTATTTTTTGCTTCATTCGAAACGGGCCTTAATTCAATTCCTTGACGAATTTGCTCTAATAAAGCATTTCTAGAATCGTCTGGTGGGGGATTTTGTTTTATTTCTGATTTATCGATTTTCTATAATAATGAATATATAATCAAAATGTTATATATCATTAAAACATTTAGTGATTACAATTTTAAATTTTCATACTAACTCGAAGAGTAGTGCCACTTCTTATAGATTCCATAAGAGTTGATCTCAAATCAGCAATATCTTCATTATTATTATTATTATTACTATTATTATTATTGATAGCACTTGTGTTAATAGTTCCATCATCAGAATTTAATAAATTAGGTAATGGTGGTGGAGTTGGAACAGATGTAGTCAAATTACTTTTTGAGCGTGGAGCTGGAGCAGGTGGAGGTGGTGGTGGAGGAGGTGGAGGTGGAGGTGGTGGAAGTGATGGTGCAGAAGTTAAAGGTGGTGGTGGTCGAGTTGGCAATGTTCTATGAACTGGTGGTGCACTTGGTGGTGCACTTGGTGGTGTTGAAGGTGTATTAAATCGATTTGGAGGCAATGGTGGAGCAATTCGAGTTTGATGCTGTAAAAATATTGTTTGTAAAATTCATTCATTTTGTATAATAATATATAGTATATAATAACAATTAATAATATTATAATAACAAATATACAAACAGGTACTGTTCTTGCAGGAACTGGAGGAGGATATTCCTGTCTTTGAAGTGCTGTTGGAGGTTGTCGTATTTGCTGTTGCAATTGTTGTTGTGCATTAGTTTTTGGGATAGATGAATTTATATCTTCTCTAATAGCATTCATACCACCATGTTTTTCAATAAAATCATAAATAAAATCACGCGTGTCTTGATTTCTAAATTGGCATTCCGATACGCCAACCTTATCGAGAAACATTTTTAAATGTGGATCAATTTTTTCTAATTCCAATTCTTTACTGTTAGCATTCCATGCAAAATGCGTAACATGTCTAAAAATATTAAAATAAATATAAAAAATATAAAAATTATCAATTATGTAGCTAAAATTACAAACTAAAATAATATAATCAATCATAATATAATCAAATTTCAACCTAAAATCAGATGGAGGCCCAATATCATCTTTAGTTAATTTTTTCTTAATTTTATCTCGCTTTTTCTTTTTACTTTTATACATAGAACTACTAGAAGCACTCCTATTAACACCAATAGCAGTTGGAGTTCCATTTAATAAATTAGAAGTTGATCCTGTATTAAATGCAATTGGTGATGTATTGCTTTGATTTCTCCATGGTAATGTTGCACCATGCTGAGTTTCTCCTTCTACTTTAGATCGTCTTTGTTGCCTTCTCTGACGTTTAGTATTCAGTTTACCAAGAAGAATATTTCTAAAATCAAATAATAATTTTTTTATCTCTTTTTATATCTTCTATTTTAATATTATTTATATATAGAGAAAGAAATTTTAATACATTTTAATCTTATAATATACAATTAGAATTAAATTTATAAAAAAATATTTCAATTTTATTTCAATTAATATTTCAATTAATATTTCTATTCTATGCTTTAATTTAATTTACCTTAGTGTAACAGCATCTGTTTCACTTGCAAAATTAAAAGCAGCCATACAATCTTCTGCTTCAAATGTATGAAAATAAATCAATGGTGCTTTATAATCCATTGCATTATAAACTTCATGTTCCCATAACATTGCTTTCCTTTGTAAGCAATACAAACGAAGGAAAAAACTACGTCTAGGATTATCTCTTATCAATGTTATAATACCTGTAGTTTTTTTTATCCATTCTTTATGTAAAGGCGGTTCAGTCAAATATAATTGAATAACTCCAGCTGCTAGACACTACAAAAAATATAAATTGTATTTCTTTTATTATTATATTACTTATTTAAAATATTACATTATTAATTTCCATTGTGATATATAATTTAAATAAATAACAAAATCATAAATATTTTTAATTTATAAATTATTTAAATAATTAAATAAAAATATTTACAATTTATTAATATTTACATTTCACACTCTAATATAAAAAATATTTGCATAATTATAAATCTTTATTTAAATCATATAAAATTAATATATATTTTTAATTTTTCATACAAATTTATAGTTCAAAAATACTATGCATAGAACTGCTTTCATATAAAATGACTAATGTTGAAAATGTTAAAAATTTTATATGTAGTATTAATAAAATATTAATTATATCAATATCAAATCTTTTATAATATATATTTTCTATAAATTTTTCATTTAATAAATAAACGAAATTAATCTTTAATTAACTAAACTAACTTAAAACTAACTTAATAACAAAAATATTTAAAAATAATATAAAAATAAAATGACAAATGTTTATTTAAATCTGTTGATTGACAAATTTAGGTCAAAATCATTGTATTATAATAATAATTATAATATTCGTATTTAAAAATTTTCAATACAATAATTCTTACCTGACACCGATTTCCTATCAATTGGAAGACTTGTTCATTTTCTTCCGCTTTTAAAAGCGTAGAACCTCTATGTTTGTCCATAGTGCCTGACTTCATCTTTAGCAAGGTTAGGATTCTTGTACTAATTTCTTACCATGTTTTTTCTCATTCGATAGATTTTGATTCATAATTTATTATCAATATTTTCTATTTTTATACATTTTTAAAAATTGAATGCACACATTAATATGAAATTCGTACAATTAAAATTGGTCAATCACCACCTATCAAAGCTATTCCTGATACTATTCTACACAGGAAACTCTACCAGTTGGTGATGACATTTTCATCTATCCGGTTCAATGTTCCACGTTTCCTCATTCGATATATTTTTGCTCTTAAATCAGATTGGACCTCACATTATAAAGTATTGTTGCAGTATTGTTATATATTTTATGTAATCTTTATTATCTTTCATTTATATATCTTATAGCAACATAAAAATGAGTGTAAATATACTTTCTACATTTTTAATTTTTTGTCTTAGTTATATTATAAATCAATAAAATAAATATAGTTAAAATTTTTTATATTATGTAAAATGTAAATTTAAAACATTCTTTTTTATTTAACAATATTTTATATATTTTATTCATATAAATGTATATCTTATATTCATATATATTGTTAATAATTAAAAATTGCAAATACTATAATATATATTTTTCATTATTTAATATAATAAATAAATACGAATATCATTATAATTAATATCCATTATATTTGTAAATAATCTATAAGTAATCTTAAAATGTATAAGTAATTTATATAAGCAATTTTATATAATATATAATTGTATATAATGTATTATAATAAAAGTTTGTAAATTGTTTGTACACAGTTTAAGAGCAAGTTTAAATTTTTAGCGCGTTTTCTTATCCTTCGTTGTCGCTATAATCACAAACTGCAAATGGCTACGGATGCGATTCATGTAGTCTCAGAAATGCGATATCAAGCAAAATCTTATTTTACATGCAAAACAGCAATGTTCATGATGATAGTGCAACAGTGATCATTGTCACGTGTGTATTTCTTTGAAAACAAAGTCATTCGCGATTTTCATAAGGTCGCGCAATTGAGTTTTCCGCGGGAAAATAATGTCTGGATATCGAAGAGTGAATTATTACGAACTGTGTAGATTGTGTACTAGCAACGAAGGAACCAAAATGAACATCTTCCGGGAAGAAGGTCGTAGACGACAACTTCAAACAAAGATTCAAACATGTTTGCCTATACAGGTAAGACTAGATATCTTTTTTTCGATTGAAAAAGATCTTGAAAAACTTATATTATAAAATAGATTTGTGGATATTTTTAGTTATGCTAATTCTTTATTTAATAATATAATATAATTAAGCAATTGATTTATATCGATAAATTGTATTTAATTGATATTTTAAGGTTTTAGAAGAGGATTCTTTGCCAAAAATTGTTTGTCACGAATGTGTAAAGAAATTAGAAAACTTTATTGAATTTAGAGAAACAGTTGTAAGTGCAGAGGGTATGTTAGAATCATATTTTACTTCACTACGATTCTCTGAAGATTTTCTAAAGGAAGGTAAGGTTTATGTGAAAAATACAGAAAAGGATAGACCTGTAACACCTGAAAATGAAGTATTAAAGTCAATTGAAAAAGTAGCACCAACAACAGGAAATCAAATAATTAACAATGATCAACAAATACAACAACCTGTTGTTGTTAGTAATATAAATACTTCAAATATTCAAATTATTAGTGGAGTTCAAGCAAGAGTTCAACAATATAAATGTGCCATGCAGGTTTGTTACAACAATAATAATATTGATAATAAATATCATAAATTATCAATATTATTTTTTATTTACATTGTTATTAAAGTTTAATTTTTTATTTATTATATTAATATATTTTTATGTAATAAAATTTATTTTATATCAGAATTTTTTTGAAATATAATCATTTTCTTATAAAAAAATTATTACTTTTATTACTATATTATTACTTTTTCTATTATTTAAACAAATTATATAAAAACAAAATTTAATATAAAATCTATTATATAAAAACAATTTTTTATTTTATACAAACAAAAAATTTACTTAATTATTATATATATATATTCCAGATGCAACCAGGAGGTATGGCAGCTGCTGTTGTAGAAGCAACAGCAGAAACACATTATAGTTATCAACAACAGACTTCACAGCAAGTATCTCCGCAACAATCAAATGAACCACAAAATCAAATTAATGATCAACAAAGTTCTACATCGCAAATTCAACAAGTGCAAAATCAAATTCAAAATCATGGCCAAATAAATCAACAAATGCAATCACAAAGACAAATTTCTCAACAAATTTCTCAACCACAAAATCAAACACAAGTTGGTCAACAACAGCAGCAACAAAATCAGTCACAAATAACACAACAGATTCAACAATTACAAAGACAGCAAAGAGAGTTTGAAAAACATAGACAACTTCAACAAATTGAAAAACAAGTACAAATTGCTACACAACAAGAATTTCCTATTAAGCAGGAGCCTCAAGCACAAATAGTGCATCAAAATAATAATATAATTTTAAAATCAGAACCTGATGCTAAACAAAATCAACAAATCATTCAGAAAGTACAATCTGAAACTCCAAAAGATGAAAGTGGTACTCAAAATGTACAAAGTTATACTGTACAAGCCACACCAGAAGTATTTTTAAATTTAGGATTTAAAGAAGCACCTTTAGTTACACAAACTGTTCGAGAAGAGACAAAAGAATTTAAGTCGGAAGATACAATATCTCGCAACTCAATCGGGCAAATCTCCGAATTTCTAAGAATAAAACCAGGACCTGAACCAACATCTCTAATTACTGTCAATCCTCAAGTTATTTCACAAAATCATAGAAATACTACTTGTAAAGAATGTGGCAAAATTTTTTCTTCCATAAATCAATTAAATGGTCATAATTGCTCTGTTCAAAATCTTTTAAATGAAACATCTGATAATAGTAATAATAAAGAAGATTCTTTACAAAATAATAGCAATTCATTTAGTTGTGATGTTTGTGGTAAACCATTTAAACGGAAAGAACATCTTTATCAACATAGAAAACTACATACTGGTGAACGTCCCTATGTGTGTACTACGTGTTCAAAAGCATTTAGTCGCAAAGAACATTTAGTTAGGCATTCTGTATCTCATACAGGTGAAAAGATGCATCAGTGTGAAATGTGTGGTAAAAATTTTTCTCGAAAAGACAATCTTCACAAACATCGTAAAACGCATGGTGTATCGGGTCCGTATATTTGTGAAACTTGTGGAAAATCATTTGTAGTAAAACATTACTATTTAATGCATTTAACAACTCATGCTTCAACTATTGGAGATGGTGTAAATTGTCAGGATCCTTTACCATATAAATGTGATATTTGTCACAAAGCATTTTCTGTAAAACAATATCTTACAACTCATAAACTTAGGCACAGATCAAAGAATAATAATTCTTCTCATAATACTGTAAATGGTCAGCAACAACAACAACAAACACAACAATCTAATACAAATAATATAAACATAGTAACAAGTAATGTTAATAATTCTGGGAACTTAAATAATAGCAATGGACAGTCTAATAATGGATCAACGGTTGAAATGCAAAGTGTTATTGAAAGAAATGAACAACCAAATGGTTCATTTAATAATCAATATCATAATAATATACAAGAGTTTCAATGAGATAAGGGGAAGCGTGTCTATTATGTTCTCTTGCCAAATGGTAACAATCACAAAATTGTTGTTATGTGAGCAAGAGAAATTTTATGACACGCTAAAATATTTTCTTAAACTATGCCTTCTGTTATTCAAGAAGGAAATTTTTTGTACTTTAATAAGACAAAAAAAATGAATTTTTAAATATTATTATTTTAAATAAATTAAAAGTTAAATAACTTATCATTTATATTCTATCAATATTCTATCAATCAGAAAGTAGAATCTTCAGTGGCTTATGAGCTTAACTTGAAATTATACACTATGTATATATTTTGCCAGTAAAATATTACAAGTATGAAATGCATGCTGTTTTATATGAATGCACACTGTTATTTAATATTCAAACAGATTGTGTGCTACAAAATTTAAGTGTGTATGAATAGTCATAAGGTTGTTCCAATACCTGATTAGAAATATATTTTCATTAAGTTAAAATGAAATCAATATATAATCAGTATGAATTATCAATTATTTTAATTGCTTATATAAATAAAATTAAAATAATATACTAGAAATAATCATATTCTTTTATAAATTTCATTAATATATAATATTTTTGTTACCTTTATTAATTATTGATATTGATATTGATATAATCAATATTTAAATTATATTTTTTATGAACAATGAAAATGATATTAAGATATTAATCTTCAAATAATGAAATTCTGATAGCGATGCGGCAGATCGATGCAAAATCAATATGATATAGCATAGAAAAGCAAAGAATTTTTTTTCTTTACTTTTAAAAGAAAAGAATTCTGATTCAAAATATATACATATAATAATGTTTATTATTAACATTAAAAAACAAAAGTTTTGTTTGTGATGCATCAGATCTGAATTTGATGCTTTAATTTTTCTTTATAATATAATTTGAGACAACCAATAATTCTGATTAATTTATTGAAAAAAATAATTTATTGAAAAAATATTGAATTTCAATATTATTTATTTACAATTATAACACTTTAAAATAAGAAATAAAGTATGAATATTGTTGTGTTAAAATAATCCTGCATCTGTCATGCAAGAATTAATGGTTGTTTTATATTTTATTTTGTGCAATATTTTTTATAATTATATATATTAGATATATAGTTATCAAAAGTAGATAAATTTGTTTTTTATTTTCTTTTTTTTTTCTTTTTTTGAGCAGTGATTGCAACAATCTATGACCATTTTGCAAATTATTTTAGAATTATATGATTTATATGTAAATTAGAATACAAAACAAAATCTAAGACCAAAGAAATTTATATTATATATAAATTGGTAATAGTAAGATAACAACATCAGGTGCAATCTAATCAGATTAGCTCCAATATAATTAAGATTTCAGTTAAGTGTACTTACAATATACATATGTGTATATTGTATAGCACTAGAGTACAACGATCTCAAAATCGTTATTTTCTAACAAATAAAAGCGTGCCATACAATGAATTTTTGAAAATAAGTATATGAGAAATTATAATTATCTAAATTTCTTGCTAAATTTTCAGCATATATTGACCAAAATCAAGAAGAATTAAAAGAATTTATATTTCTTAAGCCACATTACTTCTATTGCATCTGTATATAATTAGCATTATCATTTAATTTATATGGCTTTTTTTTAATTTCACTTTCAAAATCAAAAACAGGGGGCAAGTATAACTTAATATAACAATATAACAAAAATATATTCTCAGTATATATATATTAAATTTTGTATTTTTGCACAATAATAAGTATATTACCAAAAATTTATAATTTATTCCAAATTTTGTTTGATATTTAATTTATCTGCATCTTTTTCATTATATCTTATGTAACAAGTTAATAAAAAATTTAAATTGCACAATTTTATATCATATTTTTTACAAAATTAATGCATCATTAAAATAAACATGAACATGAAATTTTCAATTAAATTTGAGCGCAGGATTTTTATTACAAACATATATTAATAAGATTTTGTTGTTGCATAACAAATGTCTTAAAATGTAAATGAATATTCCACAGTACAAAAAATTTATTTTACTGGTTAGATTTTATTTTATTATAAAGTCTTGTATATATATATATATATATATACAAGACTTTATAATATATATATATATATATATATATATATATTATATTATGATATATATATATATCAAAACAGAAGTAATGAGTTTAAGACTGTGTTTCTATATCAGTTAGCATTAGATGTACATTTGAAATATAGATTTATAGAAATGACATTGTATATAACATGGTCCAGTGAATAAGACAAAAAACTGTTAGCACTGTTCCTAAGGAAATGGTATTCTCAGCAAAGCAGAAAATACCTCTATTCATATTAAAGTATTGTAAAATAGATATAATCCAAAGATATAATGCTTTTATTAATTGCATACTTTGTGCCTAATCATAAAAATCATTTATTTCATGAGAAAATAGCTAACAAATAATTCTTTGATTTTAAATAGCCCCCTGCTATATGCAATTTGCAAATAAAATGACATTAATTATTTAGATATGATTATTTTTGAAATTTATATTGTTAATTTTTATATTTTACATTGTATATATTTTCCAACTAATATTATATTTAAATATATTATAATATTCTAAAAATAGTAAAATAAGATTTATTTTAATCCCACATATAGAATAATTTTAATTTTGTTTATTGAGTTTATAAATTTTAACTGAATCGAATTATATATTTTCAGAGTTAGAAAAATGTTTTATAATATTTAATAAGTTTCCTTTTCTTCCTTTCCTTCCGTGATATGATTTTTTTCACAAATGTATTGATGTTAAAAAATATAATTTTTCTTTTTTAAATGAAATTTAACAATTTTTTTACTTGAATTCATTTTGCGTAAAAAAATATTTCAAATATTGGGAAATTTTGTTATTAAACGAATTTAATTTTGTTTATTGAATGAATTCGAGAATGAATTTTTATTTCATTTTTATTGAATAACCATTTACAAATATAAAAATAATATTTTTTTAAATTTATAAATTGAAATATTTAATAGCTAATATGTTTTAATATGTACGTACACAATATGATCTTCAATATGAATTTAATGTTTCATTAATTTTTTATATATAGATAACAAAAAATCGACTTAAAAAAAATACTTTTTATTAAATAATTCTTTAAACAATTAAATTTTGAAATTTATTATTTACAATAATAATAATAAATTTTTAAATATTATATATATATTCTAACAATAATTTAAAAAGAATAGTTTAAAAATTATAAAATATATTTTAAAAAAAGAAATAAATCTAAAAAAAATTAATTTGATATTTATATTGTTCTCGCTTCGTTTCCATTCATAATTAATTTGAGATTTTGAAAACATTTGAAATCGTATTAAATGTTTTCTAAAACTATTCTTTACATATATGACTTATTAATAAAATTTAAATTATATATTTTTACATTTCTTTATACATTTTTTATAAATTTATTTCTATTAAAAATAATTTTCATATATCTAAAAGACATTATTATGATAAACTAAAGTCAAGTTTGTAAGAAGTTTAGTTTGACGAGGAAAGTATATGCAATCATCATTTTGTGTATATATTTTCAATAAATAAAATAAATTAAATACATTATGTTAAGATATTTAATTTTTAAATTAATATTTGTTTAAATATAATTCTCTTTATTTGATATTGTAGGTAATAATCAGGTAAGTGTCAATAATATAATGATACTATTTGAAACATAAGGTTATGTTATTACTTGTTGATTTTTGAAAATATGAGAATTCTTATAATTTATTTAAATAAAAGATATTTCATTTAATTAGATAAAAATTTTGAAATATAAATTGTTATATATGTATTATGTTGCCAATATTCAATAAATGTTTAAATTTTATTAAGCATCAATTTTTTGTTTAGATTGTGATGATTTCTAAATGTTTTTGATATAAAAGAAATTTTTTTCATAATATATATAAATTGTATAATTTACAATTTACTTTTATTTCTTGCAAATAAGACTAAATATTATTGTAATATAATTTTTTTTTTAAAATTATAATTTTTTTTTTATAAATAATTCTTTTAAATATATTAGAATATCTACTTTTATTTATAAAATATATAAAAATTTATATAGGATCATTGATCATAGTGGCATATGGTTGGCAGAAATTTTATCACTATTTCTGGGTTTCAGCCAAAGAAACAGAGCTTATTCAGCAGTCAGAATTAGACTGTTTTGTGAACAAAACTTTCTTTGTGTTTTTATGTCAATTTCAATTTGAAAACAGAAAACACTTTCAGTTTTCTAAAATTATTAAAACAAAATGCAAAAAGAATTAAAACCATTAGAAGAACAAGTGTTCTCGATACCTAATCGTTTAATTTGTTTTATGTATATATAATTATTTATATTTATAAACTTAATTTTTAATCAAACTCTTACTCAGATTGATTTTTTGGATTAAATGATGACTATGCAAAATTAATAATAAGAAATTTTTATTTATATAATATACAAAATAACTTTTAAAATTTTGAAATTTTAATTGTATTTCATTGTATTTCAATTTAAGATATAAAAATATTTTATTTTAATTTTCTATTTTGTATAGGTGTAAAAAAAAAATGAAAATGAAACGCAGTAGATCTTTATCTCCTAAAGCTTCAAGTAGTGAGGATGATATGAAACGTATTAAATTTGAAGAAAATGAGAAGACAAATAATATAATTATTCATCCACATATATTAGACTTCTCAGATGATGTTTTGTTAAATATATTTAAATATTTGAATCCTAAAGACCTTATGGCAATAAATTTGTAAGTTTTAAAAAAAACTTTATACATATAATTACATTAATATTTTATAAATTTAAGATTATATATAAAATATATATAATATGTTATTAATATATTAATACATTATAATATATATTAAAATATATATAAATAATTTTTTCATTATTTTTATTATTTTTTTCAGATCTTGTCAACGATTAGGCCAAATAGCACAAGATAAAACTTTATGGAGAAGGGTAGATTTTCGAGAAACACCTATGTTATTAAATGACTTAAAAGAATATATAAAATTTCTTCAACCTATAACAACAAGTCTTGCTATGCGTGGTGATTTATATTGTGAACATGACACAGAACTTAGTCCTTGCTTTTTTAATTCAATTAAGACTATATGCACTCAATTGAAAGAATTGATTATTGAGGAATATTGCATTAATGGAGACAAGGTAAATTTAAATATTTAATTATTTTTAGATAAAAGATTTAAAAAATCCTTTTAAATAAATGTATCTCTATTTACAGATTCAAATAACAGATTTTCCAAGTACAATAGAAAAACTTTCACTAGAAGGTTGCAAAATGGGATATTTGCGTAGTAATAAATCATATTTTTTCAAAATGAATTTCCATATGCCTAATTTAACAGTAAGAATCTCATTTTTCAGTTGCATGTATTTTCACTTTTCTTTTAGTATATACATATATATTTGATTAGT